CTGCTGCTGGCTTTCAACAAAATCATTTGCGCAGTCTGAATGGAAAATCAAATTTATAAATTATAAAAATAATTGAAATTCAACAGCTTGTTAATAGATACTTTCCTTCACATAAATATGCATTTGGATATGGACAGACAATCCAATTGAGCTCTGTCAATTGTTTCGATCAATCAAAAGTAGTCGGAAGAAGTAAATAAGGCATGTGTGCCATTTGGCATGTACGGCTAGAGCTGCTTAGACCAATGGGAGGCGAGTGCATGGAGTGCTTATCTAAACGCCACGCCTCCACACTGAATGGGCGAAGCAAGCGAAATCGGCGCAAAAGGTTCGAGTTTAGAAATCACTGAGAACTCGAGAATTTCGTTTACGCCCACTTGGAGCTAGGCGGCCGTTAAATGTCATTTCAGTGCGACTCTAGCAGCGATACGGCTAAGCGATCGATGAGGTGGGTGAGCGCAAGTGTGGAGCTCGAGCACCGGGGAGCGCCAGCTCGAGTGCCTGCCAATTTGCCAACTGCACATTGTTAAATCAAAAACGCAATTAACTTTGGCCTACAATCAAAAAGAAGAGAAAATCAAGCTTGGTTAAGTACACAAACAAACACATATTTATATATATATATATATATATATATATATATATATATATATATTTAGTCCAACAACAGCTCATGCACTTATCGATTATTTTATTAATTGTAATCTCATTTATTTACTTAACGGTCTTTACTTGGCCTGTTTAATTTCTACATTTCTGTTCACTGATTTACGTTTATTTTGTGATAAATTTATTTATTCGATCGACCAACTCAATATGTATATATATATATTTATATATAGTTGTGCGTGCGTCTATATCACTTTATATGGCGTTAATCAACTTTTTTCTTTACAAACTGCCCACAATCGAATCAATGTCGTTGTCGTCGTCGTAGTCGTTGTCGTTGTCGTTGTCTGGCACTGTCTGCCAGCTTTATCAATGCCAAAATTGAACAACCAAATACAACAAGAACAACAACATTCATTATATCGACTGAAATCGTTGCTGATTAAGCGTTGTAAGTGGCGTTCGGCGACTCACATGGCATTCTACGTACTCCTTGTTCTTGGGACTTGTTGACAAGTGCTGCGCTTTGCCCAGTTTATCTGAAGTTGAATTGAGATTGTTGCTGCTGTTGTTGTTGCGACTGTTCCCAATGTTGCCGTCGTATCCATTTGCTTGGCTTACCTTGTTCCCATTACCCAATTACAAGGCTTTGCCAAGTACTTGCCAACTTGAATTGAGGACATTGAATTGCTGAAAATAACAATCAATTGAGAGTCCTTAGAGAATGTTGAGGGAAACTGAAAATATTTATATATATTTGAAATTCAGATTTATTAATTTATTTTTAAATGTTTTTAAATTAATTTATATATTTTTATATTTGCCTGGATTAATTTATTTTTATTTATATTTGTTTGGATTTATTTATTTTTTTATATTTATTGAAGACTTTTAAGTGGTCAAAGCAGATGAGAGAATGTGCAGTTTATATGACTGAATAAGCGAAGCTAAAATAATTTACGTAAATAAAAGACCCAAGGGAGAAAAAAGAAGAACAGCATCATAGAAAAGATACAGATCGCCTTTTAGATGGACGTAATAATACAAATTCAATTTGATCATGAGAAATAGGTAAATATTTGAAGGCCAGGTAGATTCACCTGGACATTATAAGAAAAAGTCGAAAACACATTGGGAATGATTGCAGAGGTCAGTCGAAGGCTCAGTCGAAGGCTCGGTTCGAGGCAACAGCCGTCGTAATGTTAATACAAATATAATAAATTTAAATATAAATAAATAAATTGCCAAGCATTTTCCCTTCGACTTTTTAAGCTGCTCTATCTTTGGGCTCAAAATATAACGATTTATTACAATAAATACAAATTATGAAATCTTTGTGAATATTAAAGTTAGTTTTGTGGGAGTTAGCCAGATTTTGGAAATTTTAACGTATCTAAAGCTGACTGGTGCACTCGATATCTTGGCTGTCTCCCTACATCTCCGCATCCATCAAGCGCTCGGACTAGCGCCTCGATAAGCTTGCACGTTTGTACTTGACATGTCCACGCCAGCTCACCAATGTATCGATATATGTATGTACGCAATCTGTATTTGACGCGATCGCTGGGCAGCTTGTCCGGCCGTGCAAGACATATTGCTGATATGGGCGGCCACCCAACACACATACACACACACACGAACAGAAGCAATCAGCTTGACGCGGAGTGACGACCAGTTTGCACCTTCTGGGAGCTGGGCACAGAAGGCTTATCTGTGAAGCACAGCGAGCAGCAATAATAATAATAAAAACAAAATAATAATATTATTAATAACAAAAGGTTTATTATTGTGTTAACTCGAACAGTCCGGCTGCCGGGCAATATCAGTCTTGAACAGCTATTACGTCTAATCTACATCTTTGCAATGTGCCACTGATATGAGGCCTGAGTATAATCAACATCCTGTGCGATAGCTACAAGCCGAAACGAAGTCTAAAAACAAACCTTTATGCAAATAAACTTAATGGCCCGGCAACGGGAGAGGAGAAAATGTGAAAATCGCGATTTCGAACAATCGAAATTTATAGACCAATTAGGGCAATATGTATTTTTATGGAACCACTCGGAACTGAGAATAGAAATGACTCTAAATACTCGAGCTAAGATAAATGCTTCCATATATATATATATATATATGCTTGTGATAGGGAAACATATTTAATTCATGCCTATCTCTTCATGCAGGCGTGAAATTGCTTAAATTAAATACTTATCGTATGAAAACATAATTTTAATTTCAATTATTTATTTAATTAAATATTGAATAAATATAGTTCAAGTCCATCATTGATAACTTTTGCCATATCTAAATTGGGAATTTGAATATTCAACGCCTATAATTATCAAAATTTAAATTTGCTTCAGTTGCTTGTTTAAAATATAAAAAATTGAAGTGAAAAAATCATACAAATATTTAATAATATTTATGGTACTTCAGTAATCGTTCAGTTTATGGCCTGTGTAAAAATATTATTGTTGTTGTCGTTGTTAGCAAAATATATGACCAAGCACTCGAAGTTTATTATTAATACATGGTATAGTTATTATTATAACCTCTTCTCTTAAGCCCAATAGCGAGGCATGCAATTTGCTTATCATTTTTGCTCAAGCAGTGAATACTTTTTGTGTACATATATATAAATATATTAATATATATGTATAATGTATACATATATAAATTGCATAGTAATTATGCAAGTAAACTCTCAAGTGAGGGCATTGCGCAGTTGTGCACACCCGGCTGAGCGCGTTCCTGTACTTGTTTTCGAATGACTCGACCAGTCCGAGTCGGATTCGAGTGCTTTGTAGCGCTCATCAATGAGTAATTTAAATTGCCGTTTATTCGACTGGCACTTGTTTATTTTATGAGATACTCAAAAACATCTACTTGAGTTCGAGTTCTTTATTTGGGCAAATTATATGCCCTCCCACGAAAGCCAGTCTGAGAGAGAGCGAGAGAGGGAGTGATGTCCTACGATTCGCAGTGTGATTTCTAGTCGCATTCTACTTGCATTTCGTCTTTAGCATGTCGCATAGTCAATTGACTGCCAGGCAGTGGCACCACCACCCACTAAATCAGCTATTGATGGCCATGCCATAAAGTCAATATGTTGTAACCGGGCAATTATGGGGCCATGCCATGCCATGCCAGCCGTGCCATGTCATACGTTCGTATTGAATGCATCGCGTATGGCTGGGGCGGGGCTTATCGCCGGGTAGCATTACCAAAGTCCGAGTAGCCACTGAACTATGAGTGCCAGTAGTACGATTCGTATAATCATTAATGGATTACGAACCCGATTGCCGGCCACCGAACTGAACGGTAGCTGAAAGCCATAATCAAATCGTATTTATGAGCTGCTTAATGTTTTTTACCAGCTGCCTTCGCCATCTGATAACTATCGACGGCTTGTCGCCACTACAATACCCTGCATTGTTTACTAATCATTATCGATATATGCTAAGCATAGAGTTGATGTCAGCAGCTTCTCAAATTGCCCTAATCTAATTATATATATCAAATATTCGGTTTGCATTAAGCTCGTATTCAGATAAAGGTTTCGCCTGAATGACCAATTATGAGTGTATCTATTTCCGATAACTATATTTCAGCAGTTGTTTGAGTTATTGCTAATATAGAGCCATGGAAATATTTATTAAGAATTTCTTGCTGAAGCTACGCCAGTAGCTGAAGTATTATTATTAAAAATTGATTATTAAAAAAATGAGAAGATTTAAAAAAGAAATGATTTTTTATATGCTTTGGGGATGGCACAAGCTACGGCTAATATCTGGATGGGGATTACATGGGAGGGCACATAATAGTTATTTATGAGTTAATAAATAAGTTTTAAGAAAAAAAAACTTCTCTAAGCCTTAGAGTCACACAAATATAGTGCCAGCTGAAGAAGAGAACAAGCAAAGTAATAGTATGATAAAGTCGCATTGCATTTCATAAACATTCAAGTGGAAGTTGCATTGTTTTTTTAATTTTTTATTTTGTGTTTATATTACATACATTTGTTAAGTTTTACGACGATTGTGTTAACATTAATGAACTCATTACGCGCTATAAATTCAAAGAGTTTGCTTTCTTTTATTTATTTATTTATGCACTAAAAAAAAAGAAATTTGATTATATTTTACAGATACGACCTCGCCTGGAACTAACATATGTGTGCGTATTGTTTATAAACAAATGTAATTATGCCTACGAATCGGACACTAGTTCATTATTGTTGAAATATATATATGCATATGTATATATAAATATATATACATACGATTATAACTACTAGCTGTTCCGTTAGTTGAATTATATATATTTATATACTTTATATGTTATTTATATTATTTATTTACAAAACGATGTTTTTTTTTTAATTTGCGCATATTTTATATTTGAATAAAATTATTATTACGTTTAACTAATGCTAAGCGAAAAAAAATGCTTTCTATTACTAACTTTTCTTTACTTTCCTTTAGGTATTAACGACTTTTGTGCGAAAAAAAAATGGGTAAAAAAAATAGTTACGACTAAATGGCCCGCAGCTTTAGAGCTGAGGGAAAAAAAAGGGTTTCTTCTTTGTTTATTACACGAATGATATTTGTTGTTGTTGGCAGAAGCAACAACAATCTTAGCTTGGCGCAGAGCGCTCGCAATTTGAGCCAAGACTAGTCTGGGTAGTTGAAGTGCAACCACTCGGCTCGCCATTTATTATTGCACCAATTTCTGTTTGTTTGTTCGTTCGAATGCCCGATCGACGTAGCTCAGCTAGCTTATTGTCCAGTATTCGAGTTAGCAGTCATTTGGCCGCTGCCATTCAGGTCGGCCAACTCGAACCTAGGCAGCTAGCAATATTAGGGCCACCAGGCGGCTCGCTGCGCGTGCGGATGGGCGTGCGCGTGGGCGTGGGCGTGGAGGCCAGCAGCTGCGGCAGCAGCCGCATGCTGATAGGCAGCGGCGCCATTCAGTGCCACCAAATGATGTGCGGCGGCATTCTGCATGGCAGTCGCTGTACTAACACAATCCTGCGCCAGCTTGGAGCCGTCGCCCAGGCAGGGCTTGCCATTGCGCACCAGCACGGGCACGGCGACACGGCGTGGCGAGGGCAGCGCCGACGGATGATGCGGATGTATGGCATTGCCGTGTATCATGCCGGTGTGCTCGTAGCCCTTCTCGTTCTGGGCTCGCTTGGTCTTGTAGCGATGGTTCTGGAACCAGATCTTCACCTGCGTCGGCGTCAGGCGTATCAGGCTAGCCAAATGCTCGCGCTCCGGGGCGCTCAGATAGCGCTGCTGGCGAAAGCGTCGCTCCAGCTCGTACGTTTGCGCCTTGGTGAAGAGGACGCGTCGCTTGCGCTTCTTGTTGGGCATGCCGTCGGCATTGACGCCGCCTCCGCCGCTGCCATCCGCGTCGTCCACATCATCGATGTCCTCCTCGATGCCGTCCTCATTGAGACTGTCGTCGTGGTTGCTGCCGCTGCCGGCGCCTGCATCGTGCTTCAGGCTATTGTCATTGTTATTGTTGTTGTTATTATTGTTGTTGTTATTGTTGTTGTTATGTAACGCATGCGCCGCTGACGTGCCACCGGCTGCACCGCTACCATGCAACGTATGCAGCGCATCGCCCACAGAGAGCGCATCACTGTCCGCCGAACGACTGTAGCTCTTATAGTCGCCAGAGAGAGCGGGCGACGTTTGGCAATTGGAGCCAATGTATGTGTAGGAGACCTCTGAGGTGACGGGCGAGGTGCTATCCGGACTAGCTGGCTGTTGAGTGCCTGCAAGTGGAGAGGAAGCAAGAGAGAGACGGAATTAGTCAAAGTTGAACCAAATACTTTAAGGGAAACTAAGTCTCTAGACCAGTTATATTTATCTAGTGCCTGACTTCTGTTTTCGCTCAGTGTAGTTACAGAGTCAATTTGTCAACAATTTAGAAAAATTAATGCAAACACACACACCCAATGTACATGAGCAGGCAGAAATTGGCCGAGGCAGAACCGCCAACGAGTCGTACAATTGGATTATGCTGCAGCTCTAGCTGGATGAGGGGTGGCCAGATGCAAGCGACCCTGACTCGAACCACGAACACCGCAGAGCGGAGAGGGTACAGCTAATAACGTCAATTAGAAGGAGCGGGCCATTGACAAGGCTCGATCGATCGGATGCTACCTGGTTGACTGGGCCTGCAAAGGCAACCCTGCGGAGTTACACCTTTTAGGGCAATTGCTCGTCTGCCTTCTGACCTTCGCAGTGTTGCCTTTTGCCATGGCTGTTTGTGTGTGAGCGATCTTTTCATTCTCTTTTTTTGCTATCGTCATTGTTTGCTGTGTTGCCGGAGAGGGAGTGAAAGGGAGAGACGGTGAGGGAGAGGGAGAGGGAGAGGCAGAGGGAGAGAGAGTACACAACCAAATGCTAATGAAAATACATTAAGGTTTGCAACTGGGAGACAATGGGATGCGACACAAAAGCCAAACCTCAAACAGCGCTGCCTCCTAATGGCCGCCCAGCCCCTGACTTCTGTGTCCCGCGTCTTGCATCCGGCTCCCTCTCTTCCGCTTTTGCCCATTTTGCACAACGCCCACTTTTTTTGCCTTTTGATATAAGCATATAGTTACATTGATTTATTGGCCATGGGCGTCTGGGTTTGGCTTTTGTGTGCGATCCACGGTATGTGGACCCTGTCTGTCAAGTCTGGCTTGAGCGAATACCCAATGCAGTGCACCACATTCCGTCACAATTGACTAAACAGAACTTAGAGCAGCGCGAACTCGAGCCAGTCGAGGGCCGTCTAAACCAGCCCCAGTCCAGCGCGAGTCCTGCACTAGAATCGTCCTCACCATGACAACTCAACAAATTAATAACTTAATATAATCAAAACGACTCGACTTACAGCTGTGAAATTTCCCAAAAAAAAAAAAAAAAAAAAAAAAAAAAAAACGGGCAACAATTATAATTTGTAGCTGAGCACCATATCAACGAAAAGACAAAAGGAAAAAAGAAATTGGTATAATAAAACAAGGAAAGGCCGTGCAAAAGCGAAAAAGGACGAAACGGAAGTGCGTGCCATAAATTTTCAGGCTTATATGAAAGGAATGACTGAACAATGTTGTGTCCGCGACAACAATAATGCAGGGGAAGCCCTGCAACGGCGACGGCGACGTATGAAAATAAAAAATACAAAAAGAAAAAAACGAAAAAATAAAAATAACAAAATTAATCCTCAAGTGTGAAGCGCATACAAACTATTAGTCAAGATTATGTTTGGGCCACAACTCAGTCTAGGGTATGATGGACTCGTGTGCGCCCAACAGCAGCGAAAACGGGGTGGTTCAGACCGCACGGGCACTTCGCATTTCAAGCACCTGAATCGACACATCATGTCCCATCTAACACTGCACTACATGCACTCCATGCCACTGCCAGGCAAAGGCGTCTGCCAAATGGGGCGTGGCATGGCCACAGCCAAGGGTTAGCCCTCGACGAGCCCTCGAAGTGCCAGAGACGCAGTCAGCGCCCGTAGATATGCAAACACAGCTGCCTTTTGTGAGGCAATTATTGAACAATATTATTAGGCGGTCGCTCTCAAATATCCCCTGCTCCTTGCCTCTACCTCTGCCTCTGCCTCAGCCCCTGCTCCTGCCGCTGCCCTGTTAACCATGTATATATAGCGCAACTCCGGTAGCCTATAGCTTCGACTGCAGCTGGGGTTTTTGAAAAAAAAATCCTTTTCTTGATCCATTGAATAACTGCAGAGGAACTCTAACTTATGATTGAATCAGATCACAATTTCAAAATACTTTAGAATATCTTAACAAAACTCAGTTGAGAGCTTTGCGAATATGTTTTAAGCCTAGTTTTTATATATTCTTTCACATATTTGCACATTTGTATCTGTAATTAAAAATAGCAAATCTGGTAATTCCTGAACTTTGTCAAACAGAAATCTTTACTAAGCTTTCGACAATGACAGTGCAGCAAGAGAACGGCGAAAAAGCGAATGTGTGGATATTGATCAAGATTTCATATTAAGACTTAATCTTAAAGCTTAATGAATTCAAGTTTTTCCTAAGAAATTATTTTACTGAGATATTGATAATAAAAAATTCGAAACAGAGGTTTAGTTCTCACAACTATAATAGATCAGAGAGCTGCCCACTGCCCACCAGCGCTCGACTAGGAGATACCTCAAAGACAGTGCCAAGCAACCCTTTTAAATAATGGAGGAAGTAACATTAACCATGACTTGAGAGAAACCTGAGCTTGGCTTTAAAGTATGGACGAACGTCGGGACAAACTTGCCTCAGCCCTTCAGAAAGAGTTTAACAATAGCCCTGATGAAAGTCTATAGACCGATTGAATGAGTTTAGAGCACTTAATAGACGAGCTTCCTAGCTATATTTGAGCATGATCTGAAGAATATTTGCATATTTTTCGGAACACTTACCATAGAGCTCGTTCTCCTTGATCCACGCGCTGCGACCTGAGTGGGTGAGCATTGTCTGGGCCATGTGGTGGTACGAGGACATCTCGTATTGGCCGGCGGCCACAGCCGCGGCGGCCGCTGCATTGTGACTGGCCAGCAGATGGGCAGCGGCCTGTGCGGAGGCGGCATTGGCATGGGCGCCCATATGGGGCATGGGCGGCTGAGCGCCGCCCGAGCTCTGGTGATGCGATAAGGGCAGCGGTGCGACAGGATGATGCGACTGATGGTGCAGATGCGGATGGTGGAGCTGCTGCTGTTGGTGGTGATGCTGGAGGTGTTGCTGCTGCTGCTGGAGGTGGTGGTGGGCATTGTGCTCCGTCGTCTGATGCTCGCCATGGGCTGCGGGCGTCACATGCTCGTCTGTCCCACTGGGCGGCGGCGGTGGCAGCGCTGGGTTGGGCGTGGGCGACAGAGCCGTGGGTGTAGGATGGCCATGGCCATTGCTGGACTCAGCGCCCAGCTCAGCGCTATGACTGTGGCTGCTGTGATGCGCTGCCGCTGCCGCCGCTGCTGCGGCACTCTTCAGCTCCGAGCCATCCAGATTGAGTATGTCGGATATATGAAAGCCAGAGCGCTGCGAGGACGGCACCTTGGCATCAAAGAGGCTGCAAAATAGACAAGAGAGCAGAGTTTTAATTGTCGATTCAACACTTGCTGCCACATCCGACATCCGGTGTCGTCTCATGAATGAACGGACAGGAAAACAAACACAATGGCTAACAAATTGGTCGGGTCTCAGCTCGGCTGGCTACCTGTGCACACGGCGAGTACCTGACGCACTGACTTTGGCCAAAGAAAAAAAAAACACACGCAAAAATTGCACTGAGCTGCGACTCGTTTCTCAATTTTTCACACTTGCTGGGAATTAACTTTGATTAAGTGCAGCCAAATCGCTGGATTATTGACACCTAGTCCACCGACTCTAGTCCAGAGCTCGGCCATGGCCACGGCCACAGGCCCAATTTTCAGTCAGCGTCTTAGTTTGAGGCTTAGCCAGGGCTAATGCAAATTTGATTTTCCACTAATACCATCAACAATTAAACGCAAATCCGCTTCTGGTGCAACACTTGCTACCTGGGCGATCGGGGCACAGCATCAGGATCAGCTCGAGGTGCAGGCTGGCCTGGCTAACCATTTTTCGGCCACATGTTGGCGCAAGTAAAAAGCGCTCTCGCTTCCGGTTTTTCCACGGCGAAATTTTCCCAAATGTGCGCGCGAAATTCCCACGCGCTCAGGTCCATCAGGACGCGGGGCATTCCCCGCATGTCTGAGCGGAATTCCCTTCAGCACTCGACCCAGCCCGCGGCCAGACAGTGTGACGCCGTTGTCTGTTGCACACATGTTGCCAGGTTGGGGTTTCCCTGCAACTCACCTATGGGAATTTCTAAGCCAGCCCGAACAGGCCAAGCAGTTCAACGCTCGGCCACTTGCGAGCTGCGATCGCACTACAATGCCAGAGCCCAGCTCTGGACCTTGAGCACAGTTGAGCATGCACCAGCCCAGCAAATCTGCGGATCGGCTCGGGGGGAATTACGTGGTCAGAGCAACAGTTCGCTGCAGGATTTGGGTAATTTGCTTGCTCGCGGGCAAGTGTCTTAGCCGTCTAGCAGTTACTGATTTGATGGGATTGCCGGCAAAGCTCGTTACTCTCGAGCTGGATTAGTGTGGGCGCAGTTCATTAGCTGCACAGGGGGCATAAAATAACACAGACGGCTCAGCACATTAAAAAAGGGCTGCAGTGGATGATAATGTTGAGCTGAATCTTGGACTTTGGATGTTTCCTTGTGAACTGAACTAAAATTGAATTCAATTGAAGCTAAGTTCTGGCCTTAACTTAATTGAAGATATCTGGAAATACTCCTACTTATATCATTCAATTGATCGTTCAGTAAGGTTTACCCATAGCAGAGCTGCCTTTAGTTCTAGCTGATGATATCATAAATGAAACTTTGATATGGATATTTATATATATATATATATATATATATATATATATATATATATATATATATATATATATATATATATATATGTCTATATTTATATATATATCGTAGAGATTAGTATAAAAGTTGAGGGATTTTCTGGTTTGTTGGCCAGATTAATTTGGATAAAATGTAGCATGCGCTTGAAATACAAGCTAGCTGAAGATTAGCTAGATCGTTTGCTGTATCTTATCTTGTCTTATCAAGTGCAGAGTTAGCAAAAGAGGGCCAGATCGCAACTAGGCGGGCTATATGTTTTGCTTACCCGGGCAAAGCGTTGCGCAGTGCCGCCGGATAGAAGGCGGCGGGCAACAGAGCATGGCTCCAGGGCGGCAGCAGGATGGGCGACCAGGGCAGGAAGGGCGCAGCTGCAGCCGCTGCCACCGCCGCCGACGATGGCACCATCAGGCTGCTCATGCTATGCAGGCCGGGGAAGCCGCTGAAGGCCGCTGCGCCCGTTGGTATGCGCAAGTGCTCGGCGGCGGTCAAAGTGGCGCCGCCCGTTGGTGTCGTCGTCGGCACCGTGGTGCTGGCCGTGCTTATGATCTTGGCTGCTCGCTCCAGCGATGGCGTCGACGTGCGCAGCGGCCGCTTGGGCGTTGTGGGCGTGCCGGGACTAACGGTAGCCGCGCTCTGCGGCGAGGCGGGCAGGCTGCCGGCGCTGCCCAGGCCGCTGCTGTTGCCGCTGCTGTTGGTTGTCTCCGTGCGCGCCTTGTGCTTGGCGGGCGTACGCTCCACCGCCGGCTGGCTGTGCGTGGTGGTCATGTCCGTGGCCGTGGTGGGCGTCGTAGCAGGCGCCGGTGCGGCTGTTGGCGGCGTTGCGTTGCACGATTTGCGCCGCTGCTGCGCGGGCGGCGGCGTCGGCGACGGCGTACCTTTGCGTTTCTCCGCCACTTTGCGGCCGTTCGAGTTCACAAGTGTCACACGTGCAAAAAAAGTACAAACAATGCGTGGATAAATCCCAAAGGATTTTCTTGTACTGCAATACACAAACTTAACACTTGGCCAGAGCTTTGAGGGCACCGAACGTTATCATAATAAGTCGGAAAGCGATTCACTGCGATTCGATTTCGATGGCGATCGCGTTTGCGTTTGCGTTTGCATTTAACGTTTACGTTTAGAGTTTTGATTTTGACTTTGATTTCGTTTTGATTCGAGATTTAATTTCAGCTTCTTATTCTGATTTCGATCTTGTTGTCGACTCGTGTTCGGCTTGCGTTGTCAGCCGCACTCTAAACATTCCAAACTGAAGTGTCATCAACAACTAACGAGACATCAAGAACTCGACACGAGTCCAAGCAGCCAACGGCGCAAAAGTACCAAAAACTACTCCGCACACACACATACACAGCGAGACAGACACAAACACACACACATGCATGCCTTGTGAGCATTGTATATGGTGCATCCATCCACCATTGGGTATATAAACTCACACACACACACACACGCATAGAGAGTCTCTCTGGCTGTTGTTTAGCCGCGGCGCGTTCGTCGCATTTTTACTAAGTGGCTTCTCATGTCCTTTTCAACAAGGATACTACGTCGGCAGCAGCAGCAGCAGCAGCAGCAGCAACTATGTGAGTGGCTCATTCAACCACCAGCAATAGAGGCGGCAGCAACAACAACCACCACCATTTGTTGTCGAGCGCGCATCCTTGCGCCAAACAAGGCCAGCCTATACGTGTGTTAGCCTGCCGTCTCGCTCACACTCGCGCGCAACTGCCAGCCGACGAGTGCCCACTTGAGCCGCCTCTCTGTGCCCTCTCTGTCCATGTGTGTGTGTGTGTGTGTAGAGAGCTGCCATTGTGCCGTTCGAGTATCGGCCCTTTAGGTAGAAGCGGCCAGCCAGTCAGACAACTCGCCGCATCCCAGAGCACTCTGACGCGCTGCTCTGGACCTCTTTCATTCATGAGCATGGCATTCAGCTGGCTTGACTGACTGACTGACTGACTGACTGACTGACTGAGGGACTGATTGGCTGACTGGCCGACTGACTGGGGACTTTTCGCCCTGTCCAGCACTTCATGTTGTCAACAATTGCCGTGTCATTATATTGTATTTATCATTATCGCTCGTCTCTCCAGCTGGCCAGCTGACCAGCTCAGCTCCTAGCCCTGCCAGCTATAGCCCTGCCAGCCATACTTGTGTATGCGTGTGTGTGCGCCATCATTGTCTTGGAGTTAAACGGAGATGCCATTTGTACGCTCTTATTACAACTGGCATCTCATTAAAGCTCTGCCGGCAGCTCATCAACTGACACCACTCGGAATGCACTCAGCAAAGAAAACTGTCCTTAAAGCTTGCAGAGCATTGCTAAAAGTTGATCGAAGTCGAAGCTCGCTCAAACCTGATATTGTCTTTAAAACATTTAATCTTAGTTATATAATGTTTAATATAAATACATGAGAAGTAACAAGTATAGATAGCTATGAGTACCTGCAGGTACCTTGTCTTAATGTGCTTTAGAAGGTTCATACAAGAGCGATCCTCAATCCTAAATCAAAGTTTTAAATGATAATAAACCAAGATAAATATCACAGATTTTTATTTAAATACTTTCAATGGCATTGCTTAATACTAAATTCGAATCAGCACTCATTGAAAAAGTTATTATATGCAGAATATTCGATAGCTTTTCAATATTTATTGATTATTGATATTGATATTTATATATCGTTATTTATTATAGTGGGAAAAGTTTATTTGGCATGGCTGAAAAGGGCTTAGCTCACTTTTTAACAGCAAGGCTTCTAGTTCATAGTCCTGTCAAATCGTTGATTAGTATAGACCCAAACTAAACAGAAAACAATTTGCCAAAATAAACTAAACTTTATTTGAATTGTTTTTGTTTCAAACTGTAATCTGTAAATTAATACAAAATTTACTCTGAATGGCTAAGTAAAGAAGGGCTAAAGGACTCTATATGTAGTGTGTGTTGTACCTAAGGGAGGTTTTAACGGATTCGTCTGGAGTTTTTCTTATATATAACTAGCTTAAGGAAGAAATGCAGAACTGGCAGAACTATGACCAAGATATACAAAGCCTGACATTTAGTTACAAGAATAAAAGCTCATCAAAATCTAGTTATGTATAGGATTCTATTTGATTACAATATATGAAATATATGAAATATATATCTCTAGTTCTTAACTTTAATGTGTTGAATGAATAAGCTATTAGTAATATTTTATGCAATAAATATTTATTAAAATATGAGAACTCATTGTACCCTGTAATCGCGCCGACTTGCTAGGCACTTGAGCAAAAAGTCGGCACATTTGATTCGATTCGATTTCATAAGTAAAGCCATGATTAGATTCAGATTCTGCACAACAACGCCATTAAGTATAAGTATATACGTCTATACATATATATATATATATATATATATATAATATATAGCTAAAGCCTGTACATATGTGGAGCTGTCGCTTGTCTAATATTACGGAACACACCCAATTGTGTGTGTGCGTGTGTAGATGGGAGGACCTACCGTAGAGGGTCTGCTGAAAGGAACATCATCAAAACGACCATTAGCTAACTTGAACAATGCCAAGAGGACGCGTGCAGGGCGAAAAGTTTTAGCAATTGAAAAAATAACATGGCAGACATGGCGT